TGCACCCAAAACCCCACAACACGCCCCTGGTGCAGATCCCCGCCGCACCCGGATCCCCCACTGAGCCGCCCACACCCAGATTGCCCTGCCAGAACTCTCTCAACCCACACCTGGATCCCATCACACTAAGCCCCTCCGTACTTGGATCCTGCCTTGCTGAGCCTGCCTGCCCACACGTGGTGCACCTGGCATGGATGGGGAGGGCCCTGGGGTGTATCTAAGTCCTTGCACTGTGACAGAATTGGGTGCAGCCTCACCGCTGAGTCTGTGTCCCAGGGGGAAAGGGGGAAAAAGCTGCACAGTGATCTCCCACCTCTGTTCAGCCAGTGGCATGTGCTCCCCAATGCCATACTGGAGCCTCCACATTTATTTGACAAATAAAAATTGCAGAATTTTAAAATGTGTGCAGAATTTTTTTTATTTTTGATGCAGAATGCCCTCAGGAATAAAAATTTGTCTACTAATCCTACCTGGAAAAAGTTCTGATTACCTCAATTTTCAGTAGTACAAAATTTCCTCCAACGATTTAGTACTCCTTTGACACCAGTCTGTCACTGACCTTTTCTCCTCTGTCTTTCACATTTTTTTCATTTGAGGTTCTCTGATCCATATCTAACATTTTATTAAACAAGATTCTGATCCATCAAGCTTAGATCTGCAGGGTTTGAATGAGCTGCTAGAATAATTTCTGTTCTCATTTGTTGAGGAATAGGTCTCTGATAGTTAACTGGACTGCTTCAAAAGCAGTCATGGCTATTGGAGACAAGGGAAAGGACAGTTGGGAGGGAAGATAACCCACTAAACCACCTCACTAATCTCATAACCATCCAGGTATATTTTGGCACAAGACACATTGGGCTGAACATAATAGATTTTTAAAATGGAAGAGAGAGTGCACATTTTGGGTTTATCAGACTGATAGTATTCTCAACATATATCAAAGATGAGCTTAGGGTGAAAGTTCTGAAATGCACCAACTTGTGAGCTTTGACTCCCCAATGAAATTTCATTGGGACTAGGATACTTTTGATTTTTTTTTTTAAACCCAGAATACATTTCTATTCTTTATATAAAACCTTAATCATGCGGGAACTGAATCATTTTGGTAGCCTGATTTCAACTTCACATACATTTTGAGAGCAGGGACCAAATCTGTACACTACATTTTTTATTCAAGGGATGTTACAGCCAGACACACATCTAAGATGAAGGAGATCAGGGTTCTATTGATGTTATCTTTGGAACAATTACATAATAAACTGGAAATGACCCTCAACAGCATAACAGCAAGTTTCAAATTTATGTTTGAATATTTTTCACTTCTGTTTCCCATCTGTAGCAAACTTAGTTTCCACAAAGTTCTCATTAAAAAGCTTAACCTATGCTGCATGTATGACCTGCTGCTCTTATTCTTTAAAGTCTTCATATCTTAATTGACACTACAGAGACTGCACAAACCTGGAAATGGAATTCACTACAGCAGCAGAGCCTTGTAAGAAAGTACTAAACAGTCCCTTTTTTTTTTTTTTAATAATTAAGGGGAAGATCTAGATGTTAGCTTAGGTAACAAGGAAATATTTTGTTACCGACCTCTTTCAGAGAAGCAAGAACAGCAGCTTTTATAATTTCCTCTTGTTTAACCTGTGTCACATCTAGCTTCTTTACATCATTGCTTAAGTATGGTTTCAAGTTCATCTTCAGATATTGTCTTCCTCTTATGTGGTGAAAGATCATATCAAGAGAACGAGGCAAAATACCACCATCTTTTGGAGAACCTGTGAAGAAAAGTAAGTGTATTATACATAGTTAGTCTCACTAGAAGTGTTAATTGGATTTTATGAAAGTTGTAACATTTGCTTTTGTTACCTTGAATAGTGAATGTTTTGCCTGCATTAGTAACCCCATAGGTAAACACCAGTCCATTTGCTCCATCAATGTAAGCTTTTACTATCTCTTTCATTGTGCCTTCAAAAAAGTCACTTTGAGTAGTTTCTGGACCAAAGACCTAACCAAAAAAAAGAACAAGAGTTTTCAAATGACATCTGGAGCAGCTGAAAAATGGATTACTAAATGGTCCAAAGAACTTTTGTTTTTACCATTCACTGTTGAGTAATAAGGTAAATTAGCTGTACAGAGAAAGTTGAACAAACAATACAAGCTTCATTGTCTGGATCCCCTATAACTGATCACAAGTTTCTGTTCGGCTCCAGGTCATGCATGTTTAATTCCAGCTACTGAGATAAATGCAGGCTTGCATTTATTTCTGACCACCATTCAACTGGCAAGAACCAAGAATAGCCTGAGCTCCTCATCCTGGAAGAAGACCTATACTTGTATTGCAGAATAGGAGGGAGCCATATGGAAATATGAATCTACAATTCAAAAATTACTCAGAGAAAGACCAAGTCTTAAATATGAAGCTATTTAACAAGTTATGCAAGCCACTTGCTCTTGATACTGGGAGAACAGAAGCTCCTGTAGTCCTTACTGGATTTTGCATTCATGTGTCAAGTAAAGAAAAGCTAGGCTTCAGGTTTGAAATGGATAAGCCATAAAGCTTCCATACTCTCAAATTGAATATATACCTTTCTAGATGCCAGTTTTAAGTAACACATTCTTACAATACCTATACATCCAATTGTGATCTAGGAGGATAGTGAAACCACAAAAATTTATGTGGTCACACTATTTCCTTGTGCTATGTTGTTTCATATAAAATTGCCTGCAAGAAGCTTTTTGTAAACACCATTTAATCAAAGAAAGCAATAGGATTACTGCATAAATTTCCTTCTCTCGTCTAATTAGTATTTGCATTAAAATATAGCCTTCCTGATGAATTAACAGTGAATACGAGTCCTATACATTGTGTTTTGTTTCAAAGGCAGTTGAGAAGATACCACAAGTAATTCAAATTTGAAAGGTCATAGTTAACAAATGATACAAACAGAAACACTTGCACTATAACTAAAAATGGAAAAACAAGCCACAACTTTAGTTTCCTATAGGGTAAAATTGCTTTCCTAGTAAAGATCATGGCATGAAAGGTAGCCTACCTTAGTGAAGGTGAACTGGTGTACAGACTGTCCAATCCCCTTTTCACTGTTTTTCATTGTAAAGGATTCTTTGGGTGCCTGTAGAGTTACTGTTTCTGGATTTTCAATAATTACACAGTCCTAAAGCACAGACATAGAAGTTCTTCTTTCTAAAATAGCTTTCCAGAAGTGCACACCTTTGTCTACCAAAGCTTTAACATTGTAAAAAAACAGGTTTTAAAATATTTAAGAAGTGAATTACAACTTTAAAGGGACACTAATATAAGATTTGAACCAAAACATGGGCTTTGTAAAAGGTAAGCTTTTACAATATCCAAGACCATTAAAAATGTTGCCAGGATCCCCTCCACCCACTCCTATTTGCAACACACACTCCAAACACCTGTAGAGTTTGCAACCCAAGCTCTGCAGTATTGTACTCATGCAAGAGAGCCTGCAAACAAGATGGATTAGAAACTGACTAGTTTTCTCCATATTTTGTTTCTGGACAAAATGTAAACTATGAACTGCCTAAATAGAGCGCAAACTGGATTTGAAGAGTTTCAGTTTGAATGATGTTTGGTGTTATTTATAACCTAGGAAAGGAAACTTGCAGAGTTTACATGATTTAACTTCTGCCTCTTAAGTATTATAAGACCATAACATAATCCATTTGATAACAGTGGTAGTTAGAGCTGGGCAAAATTATTTATTTTTCAATTAACTGGCAGTTCTGAAAGATTAGGTTCAACCCAAATTGAAACCAATTTTAAATTCTTGGTAAACTGAAGTCAATAAAAATTTCATTTCAGGTTGAATGAATGTTTTGTTCAACCTAACCTAACTTACTTTAAAAGATTAAATGAAGGACCGGATTCACAGGAGGTAATGGGTAGAGCTCATATACCCAGTAGCCTAGTGGTTACAGCACACAGCTAGGATGTGGGAGTCCCAAATTCAAATCCCTAATCTGGAGCAGGGACTTGAAGTCAATCTCCCCGCTGAGGGCCCTAACCAGAAGGCTACGGGGCTATTTTGGTTTGGCTCGGCTCTTAATCTCTCCTGTTGAAGCTGTTCCACTTTGTATAAATAATTCAATATTCATTGGAGCAGGAACTTGAACATGGATCTCCCACCTCCCAGGGAAGTGCCCTAACCACTGGTACAAAAAGGGGCGCTAAGTAACCATATGCATCTAGACCAGAACATCTTTTGGGGGGTCCAAAACTATTTGACAAGTTTGTCAAAATAGTTTCAATCAACCCAAAACTGCATTTTTTGGCGAACAAAATATTTATATGGAGAATTTCACCCAGTTCAAGTGGCAAGAGAACATGACTTTGTGACTGATGTAGCAGAAGTAATTACCTTGCACGACACACAACCCATGGAATATTACCATCTATTGCAGGGGTCGGCAACCTCTGGCACGCGGCTTGCCAGGGTAACCACCCTGACAGGCCGGGCCAGTTTGTTTACCTGCCGCGTCAGCAGGTTCGGCCGATCGCGGCTCCCACTGGCCGCGGTTCGCTGTTCCAGGCTGCGGGAAGCGGCGCAGGCGAGGGATGTGCTGGCCGCAGCTTCCCGCCACCCCCATTGGCCTGGGACGGCAAACCGCGGCCACTGGGAGTCGCGATCAGCCGAACCTGCCGACGCAGCAGGTAAACAAACTGGCCCGGCCTGTCAGGGTGGTTACCCTGGCAAGCCGCGTGCCAGAGGTTGCCGACCCCTGATCTATTGTTTTCCTATTACCTGGACAAGTTTTACCGGTGCATAGCAGATATTTATTTTCTCTGTGTTCAGCCTTTAAGTTACCTGTCACATATTTTACTGTAACTGAAAAAAACTCAGGGATTAAGGGTCAGACTTCATACAGCAGCCACATTCAGAACAGTTTATTGGACAAAATTAATATGCTGATCTTGTTCTGGTTTGGCTTTCCACATTTACCAAAACTGTAATGTAGGAATCAGTGAGACTGTAAAGACTGCTAATATAAGTAGCATATTTCTAGGAGATGGAATTAGCACTTTTCCTCACCATTAAAGTTAAGAATGCCTCAGAAGTGACATCTATTGGTTACAGAATTTAGAAACTGAAAACTTACAGAAGCTTTTTCTATTTTAGAATTCTTGAGATGAAATGCAAGTGTTTTCCATGGAGGACAAAAAAATAAGTCATTAATGAACAACTAACCTGAGATTCATTGCTTTCAAGCTCTGCTTTAGAGAAGGGTCTGACTCTCAAGTAGACTTTCAAAGGTTGATATATCTGCTCATTTGAAAAAATATATATATATAGTTACATCTATAGGCCAAAGACTCGGGATTCCAGAGTTTTTGTTTGTACCTGCTTACATCTCTGATGTTTTTCCCACCCCCCACCATTCCATCTCATGCCACCCACATTACTGTGACTTTTGTACTAATATCCTTCCATTCATCTTCATGTCTTCTCCAAGCTGTCCCTTACACCTAGAACACCTACTGTGCTAAAACTATCCACCCCTTTTCATTCAAATTCTTTAAAATGTTTATTTCACACAGCCAGCCCAATGTTAATCCATCAATAGCACATTATATATTTATTTATTTTACACAAAAAAACTGCACTGCTTCCACCTTCTGGTCACTCTGCACATTGTATTTAAGTTGTGTTGCTCGTATAATAAATGGAAAGTTTGTACTCTAGTTTTATATAGTGCAAGGCACACTACTGGGGCTCAATAACAAAAAACATCTTGCCCCTATCGCCAAGCCACAAACCCTTTACCATCCCTTCAGAAACGGTCATGGAGGAAGCCTTCTTAGCTGCTGGGAAATCGGGGATGTTCCCTAGCTGCTCCTATCTCCCCTCTTAGCTACTAAAAGGAAAAAAATAACCCAAGTGGGTCTCCCCACTGTTCTGTATTAGACAGAGGGATCCCTATGAGCCTTCCGTTCCCACCCAGCTATGTGAACAGAAGAGGTACACTAGTTTTCCCAACTGCTGACCTGTCCATTTAGCACCTTTCATTACCACAACTCTTCCAACTACTCCTTTCATCATCACTCTGCCAAAAAAGTAGAATGGAAGGAGTGCTGACCAAAAGGTACCGAATCAGTAGACCTGCTGCTGTAAGATAGCATGACCAGTAGAAACAGACTCCAAGGCCAGATCTTGGCATAATGCAATAGTTATATAACAATGTTAAAAGGCTTGCAGGTCAAGTGCAAGAGTGTATAACAGTTTGGGGCTCATGGTAAGAGTGAGATAGTAATAAGAACACTGGTTTGAACTAGGCATACTCCAGATGGGTGATGTGCAAACTTCCACGTGTATTTCTGCACTACACTGCAATACTTTAGCTCCTCAAATGCTTAAGACAAATGTTGTAAGTACCGTTTAAAATGTTAATTTGCTGCAGGACATGATCTGTTTCTAAGTAAAGGGAAAAGGAAACAGACTTGGAAAAAGGGAGGGAGTTCAAATACAGAGATAAACTTGTTATTGAATTGTTGCTACTTAAATGCAAAGGCATCATTAGAAAAAATGATTACAAACACACCCCCTCCTCCTGCTGCTGTTCATCAGCATTAGGTATCACTGGCAACTCCAGGGGTGAGGTTTTACCCATTAAGTCCTCATAACAGGTGAAGTCCAACACATCACATACTGGTGAGGATGCATAGCTTCCCACCTCATAGTCCATTCTCTTATCCTGTTCACACTGAGAGGAATAAGAAATAAACACACATGTTCTCACATGCAAATAGTGGAGAGTATGCAAGAAACAAGTAAGGCTTTTAATATACACACACCCCTCCTGAAGGAGGGGGGACGAGGAGAAGGGGAGGAAGGAAGGAGATCTAAAGACATGACCCCCAGAAAACTTGTAGTTATTTACCCTTTAAAAATGCTCTGCAATGTAAGAACCACATTTTTAAAACTGCAGATAGCATGAAAAGAGTCTGCAGGGAATCCAAAACATTTACTATCTACAATACCAGACCAGCGACATGGGCAGTCCTGTAAATAGGTACATCTGAAGGTGATAGCGCTTCTATCATTCCCTTTCCTTCGCAGCTGTCAAAAGGAGTCCCCAAAATGTTGTGATTCACAAGGCGAGGGTGCTCAGCACCCTAACAAGATCAAACTCACAGTGAGCTCAACTCTGCCCCCCTCCTACCCCTACGCAGGGCTCCCGCTGACTGCAGCTGGAGCACACGTGACACTAGGATGCCGGGGGCAGAGTTTAGCCCTAATGAACAGAGGCATAAATCTCTTTGGTTCGCCTCTGTCAGTGGGGGCAGAGCGGGCTCTAGAGGCAATGCCTTCCCCAAGGGCCCAGTGAATCAGTGGCAGAGCCAGGAACTGCACCCAGAGCTGCCTGTGGCAGAGGGAGAGCAGCTGGCCACCGAGTCCAGGTGAGAGGAGGGAACGGCCCATGGCCAGGGTTTGCCTCATCACAGGCATAGGCTGGAGGCGTGCGAGGAGCGACTAGCTTCTCCCTCAGCCGCCCCGGGAGAGCGGCGGGGCGGCGGGCTCAGACACGCGGGAAAGCCGCAAACCCCAGCAGCCCCGGCCCGTGGCCGCTCCGAGCCCGGCTCCCTGCGCGAGGGAGGGGGAGGAGCGCCCGCTCTCAGGGTGGGAGGGGTTTCAGCCCCTCCCGCACACCACCTGGGGAGAGGCCGATGACGCCGGCCGAGCGTCGCGTGCAGCTCGCAGGCTTTCCAGCCCCTCCGCCTCCTCACGCGCTCTAATCACCGCTGCCTGGGCCTGCCCCCACCCGCCGCCTTTTTTAGCGCGCGCGGGCCGGCAAGGCGCTGGCACCGCTGGGCGGCGGCGCCTCCCCTGATTGGCCGCGGGCCCGGCCCGGCGGTGCGTGCGGGGGGAGTCCCGCCAATGCTGCCGAGTGCCGCCCGAGGGGTGGCTCGTCTTACACCTGCCAGCGATGAGCCCGTTGTGACGGTTGGGGACTGGGGTGGCTCTAAGCACCTGGACGCTCACGGACTGGGCTTCCAGTTACCGGTTCCTCTTTCCAGGGCTGACGCGGGGAGGGAACAATTGTACCGGCCCGAGCTCGGGGGGAATGTCTGTAACGGGGGGGCTTTAGGTACCCGCCGCTAAGGTCCCTCCAGGGCCTGCCTGGTACCGATGGATCCGCTGTTCGGACAGGCCTGGGGGCTGAGCCCCCCGTTCTCATGGGTACAGCGTGGGCGGCGGCAGCACCCGGCCGTTTCCCCAGCCATGGAGTCACCCCCCGCCCTCCCAGGGCACCGCTTCTGGCCTGGAATATCATTGGTCTCCACCCCGCCGCGGCAGGCTCGCTCGTGGGGCTACCAGCAAGGGACCAGTGACTTGAAGTGAGACCGCCACGCAGCTCACACATGAGCTATCATCAAACGCTCCTGCGAAGCGACAGCCAGGCAATGCCAAAGCGGGCTGGAGTTCAGTCGCTCCCCGACCACGTGGCGACCAGGCTGGATGTCTAGCAGAGGGCACTGGCGCACAAGCCAACCCTTCGTAAAGGAAACGTGAGGTTGAGAAGCCCTAACACTGGAGCTTCCCAGCCATTGTTTTCAAACAGTCTGGTTAAGCCTGCATTTTTATGAGATCGTCTAAAGCTAGTGGCAGCAATATTGTGGTTGCAGGAAGGTTAGGGGAAGTAATTGTTAAAATGCAGGACTATAGATTGAGATTACCACTCTTTGTTCCTGGGTCTGTTATTGACTCTGAGGCCTGGTCTACAGGTTGATGTTAGGCAGCTTACCTTGACCTAAGCATCTACACTACAGTGTTCTTCCTGCCAACTTAACTCCCCTGCTATGCCAACCCACTGCTCCGAGAGGCTTAGGTAAGTGTAGTTAGGTCAATGCAGTGTCCGTGTAGACATTGCGTTGCTTACGTTGCCCGTTGCTGCCTTTGACAGCCTGAGCCCCACCACCCGGGGCTGACAGCTTGGTTTGTCAAGCCAAGTGTGACAGGGCTCCAGCTGTCAGTCCCTGGTGCTGAGGCTCTGACTGTCAGTACCCCATAATGCCCCACTTAAGCTGGTGTAAGCGCTCCTGATGAGGCTGTGCACTGCTGACAGGAGCATAGTATGGACATAAAGTGCTGCAGTGGCTGTAGGTCAACCTAACTTTAGTTGATTTAATTTTTTAATGTAGACGTGCCCTGACCCACACTGAAAGCACTGTTATGTAGGAAGCAGAGCCCCAGAGCAAGCAGGTAACTTTAATTTCAATACTGTTTGACATTTTCATCAGTGATCTGGCAGTAAATATAATATGGCTGATAGAATTTGCAAATGACAGATTGGTAGAGTGGTAAATGATGACAGGGTAGCCATACAGGTCATTCTGGATTGCTTGGTAAGCTAGGCCCATTCAAACAAAATGTGTTTTAACACAGCCATATGCAGTTATATATCTGCAAGGAATGTAGGCCATACCTACAGAATGGGGGATTGTATCCTGGAAATCAGTGACTTTGAAAAGGATTTAAAAATCACAGTGGAAAAGCACCTCAACATGAGCTCTCCCTGTGATGCTGTGGCGCAAAAAGGACTAATGCAATGCTTGGCTGTATAAACAAGTGAGGAGGAGCACCAGAGGTGATATAATTCTAGTGTCCATTTAAAAAAAGAAAAACTGAAGCTGCATAAAAGGCACAAAAAGTATTTGAGGACAGAGTACCTTACTGTGAGATTTAAAAAGCTCAACCTGTTTAGCTTATTAAAAAAACCTGAGAGAGGACTTGAGTGTACCATGTAAGTACTTTCAGGGGGAGAAAATACCAGGCAATAAAGGACTCTTTAATCTCACAGAGAAAAGTGTAACAAGAACCAATGGCAGGAAGCTGAAACCAGACAAATTCAAATTAGAAATTAAGCACAAAATTTTAACAGTAAAGAAAATATTTGAACAATTAAGGTAAGTGGTGTATTTCTCCATCTCTTGATGGCTTCCTATCAAGCTTGGATACCTTTATGGAAGATCTAACCAAACAATAGTTAGTGGCTCAATACAAGGCTGCAGAAAGGGATCTGGGGGTCATAATTGATCACATGCTGAATATGAGCCATAGAAT